CACCTTTATTTTTAAGAGTGTACAACACGGCTACTGCACACTATACGCTGCAAAAGATCAAGTATTATTACAAAAATAGTATGTAAGACAGTATAAAATAAAACAAACAGTGTGCTATGTTTTCTCACATGCTGTTTTGTATCTTTAGTCCAATTTATGTAAAAATGTCCTAAAAATTTGTCAAGAAAGAGATGCTAAAAATTAGAATTGCATACTATTATATACTATTTCTGCAATATATACACTACAGTTCAAAAGTTTGGGGTCAGTAAATAGTTTTTTGAGAGAAATTAAAGGGGTCATATGATGCTGCTAAAAAGAACATTATTTTTGTTAGAACGAGCCGTTTTAGGTAGGTGTGGCTGACTCTTAACTTTTATAAAGAATATCTCTTTGGATTTGAGACTTTAGTCTTTGCAACTTTACAGATCTTCTTTATGCACCAAGAGCTTGTAACACTCCAAAGAGAAAGGAAAAATTTAAATCGCATCATATGACCCCTTTAGTACTTTTTTTTCATCAAGCATGCATTAATGACAGTAAAGACATTTATAATGTTATAAAAGATTTCTATTGCAAATAAATGCTGTTCTTTTGAGCTTTCTAATCATCAAAGAATCCTAAAAAATAAAATGTATCACGGTGTTTCCACAAAAATATTGATTTCAACTGATTGATTTGAAACAGGTTTTAACATTGATAATAATCAGAAATGTTTTTTGAGCAGCAAATCGGCATATTAGAATGATTTCTGAAGGATCATGTGACACTGAAGACTTGATCACACACTGTAAAAAATGATTGTGATTTTAACAGTAAAAGACTGTAAAAGTTCTACAGTAAAAACCTGTTGATTGGTTAACAGTAAGTTTCCATACTATATATGGTGAATAACTGTAATTACATTTAATGTAATTTTACAGTAAAATACTGTTATAATTACAGTTTTTGGAAGTGAAAAAGAAAAAGTCATTGTATAATTTACAGTGAAAAACTGTAAATTGACACTCCCAGAATTCCCTGCATGACACTTCATATTTTATGTTTTTCGTTGAAATAATTATGTTTCTTCTTAGTTATTCCTTATCAGTTGTTTACATTAGTGTTTTATCTTACATCTAATGTTGTTAAATGAATGTTTATTGCATTATTTCAGTATCATGTGTGTTACCATGATGGGGTTTAGTGTTTTTTGTGAATGACAATGTGTGCACCTTCTATATATATATTAATATATATAAGTATTTCCCTCCTCAGCTTGTGGAAGAGCTGTTTGTGATGAGCTTTGATTCATCATGTGACTTTCTCATCACCACCTGTTTTTGGTGGTTATCAGCATTACAATGTTTCAAAACAGATATTAGTACTTCAATGTGCTGGTTTATTAACATTACATCAGTTAATGAAATACGTTTTTTATTGTGAATTTAAGTTAAGTCTGTAAAACCTAAAATGTTTCTACCATATTTTTAACGGTGAAGTTCTGGTAACCACAGCTGCCGGTATTTTACCGTAAATATCACAGATTTTCTTTTTACAGTGCAGGATTAAATGACAAAATTAGAAAACAGCTGTTTTAATTTGTAATAACATTTCACAATATTATTGTTTTTACTGTATTTTTACTCAAATAAATGCAGCCTTGGCGAGATTTTTTAAAGACATAAAAAAAAATCCTACTGACCTCAAACAGTTGAACAGTAAGGAAATAATATGGCAAAAATAGTGGATTTTTTTTTAAAGCTGAGCATAACAGTATTTCCATAACTTTTTAAGAATTTCCAGGCCTACAAATCACTTTTTAAAGATTGCCTGAGAATCCTGAAGTATTATGATATTGTGAACACAGGCATGCTTTCCAGTAAAACTGCAACAACTTGCTTCATGTTAAAATGTCCATTTATAAAAATGTCAAGAAAACAGAGCTGCCTATAATGAAAAAAACAAAACCTGTAAAACATTCAGAGGGCCTGACATCCTCCCTTGGATTTCAGTCATATTTCTGGCATGGTTTAAGAGTTGCATTTTCCCTTCGCTGTGCAATAATCGCTGTCCGAGTCTTTCTCTGTCTAATGGAAGAATTATGAGTGTTTAATCGAACTCTGCTGTCATATGGACCCTGCCACACTTAAAACCATCATTCCTGGCCTCACCGCGTTCCTCGGGTTATGAATAAAGAAAGACCTCAGAGGAGGAGAACGCGTCCCGCTGCACACATCTGTGACCCAGCTTTACAGGCCTACTTCAATTCAGGATGGGCTCCCAAACGAAGGCCATCTGCTGCTGTGATTTAATTAATAATGGAGCGCCTTTGTGCTGAATGACGGCTTTGGGCGCAATTTAAAGTACTGCTGGAGGACGCAGGGACAATCGCTGGGAAGCTACCTGAAAACACTCACAAAACATCTGAAGTATGGATGGGCTGTTATACGATTAATGCAAAATTCAACATTTCATTAATAAACTAAAATACTATAGTATGAATGTTTAAAGAAATGTGCCTAATTTCACAATAAGTGCAAACCATGTTTGAGCATTTCAACATTTCATTAATAAACAAAAATATTATAAGTTTGAAATTTAATAAAAAAAATTGTGCTTAATTATACAGTAAGTTCAAACCATATCAAAGCAATTTAACACTTCATTAATAGACTGAAATATAACTATTTTGACAATTCAATAAAAACTGCTTAATTTTACAATAAGTGCAAATCATGCTGGAACAATTTAACATTTTCATTAATAAACAAAAATATTTCTATTTTGAGAATTTATTTTAAAATGTGCTTAATTATACGATAATTGCAAACCATGTTTGAACAAATCAACATTAACAAACAAAAATATTTCTGTTTCAGATTTTAATAAAAAGTTAAATTAATTTAATGAATACGATAAGTGATAAGTGTAAAATTTGATTAACAAACATAAATATTATTATTTTGACAATTTAATTTAAAAAGTGTTTAATTGTAATGATTGCAAAAAAATCCTAATGGTCTTAAAAATTAATTTTCATTATGCAAAATGTGAATTCAAATTTTTTCCTTTCAGATTTTGGGGTAAAAAATAAGATTGACTGAAATAGGATGGATTTAATTCTGACAGCAGACCATCCCAGCATGCCCAAGGTCTGCTGACTTTCTCCGAACTCTCCCTGTCTGGCTTTCTAACAAGGGTCAGAGCAAGACGAGCCGCGTGTCACCGATCTGATTTATTCCCGGCCTATTTTTAGTGCCACCAATTAGCACGACTGACAGCGGCTGTTATGACTGCAGTCGCGTGAGGACAACAAGCCCGACCTGTCTGATAGCTGTCTGTCCCGCAGCGTTCACACTTAACACACATCGCCTTCATCTGTGTCGTCCCTCCGCGTCTGTCATCTCGCTCTCCCCAAAACCATCTGGCTTTCTATTTCACCTGACAGCTCGTCCAAACACTTCCTCCTGCATTTATTACAGTGGTGGTACATTCAGCATGCCGGCGCTCTTAAAGGCATAATTCGCACAAAAAATGAATATTCTGTCATCATTTACTTCTGAATCCATATGACTTTCATTTTTACACTCAAAATGATGTTTTAAGGTAGCCTATCTACAAACTATAGCTATTAAAATAGCAAAAAGCACCATAAAACTATTATAAAGGTAGTCCATATGACTTGTACACCATATTCCAAATTTTCAATGTATAATGACTTAAATTCCAGTCTGTTTGTCACACAAAGCTATCATATAACTTCAGAAGACACGAAACATGCTGTATAAATATGAACTACTATTTTTTCCCCCCATTGATTAAATTCATATGGATTTAAAACAACACAAAACCTTATTTTTGCATGAAATATGTCTCTGGTCCTATTGTGTGCATGATCACCAGTTATAATGCAACCATGTTTGAGCAACTTAACATTTTTCTTAAAAAGTAAGCATTTTACTCATAAATAAGAAAAAAGGATATTTTTTAGAGAATTTAATAAAAAAGCTTGCTTAATTGTAACGGCCTTAAAAATTCATTTTCATTATGCAAAATATAAATTCTTATTATTTATTTATTTTTATTGAATTTAGGGTGAAAAATTATATTCACCCAAATGCAACTCAAAGAACTATATATATATATATATCAATAATGACAACTCTCTGAGCATTTTAGCATGGTGATGGATATGACTATGTTAATGTATTTGGTCTTGGCGGAACAGATCTGCTACACTGCTGCTGAATTGCTGCTGCTGTTGGTTATTGCTGTAGTTGTAGATTATTGCTGCTGCTGCAAGCAAATACAGGAGCTTGCTACTGCCAATGCATATGGCGATACGGTGCCTAGAGTATTTAAGACATCCTGCTGCTGCACAAATAGCATATAAAATAACCCCGCAGCAGATCTATACAGGTGGAGCTGGGGAAGGTGGAGGGTTTCAGAGAACTCGGAAAGCATGCTGCAGGAATCTCAAGTGAATGCTAGCCAGCCATACAAATGCTAGGCAGTAAGCTCATTGGCTGCATATGCAGCATGAACCAATTAGCTTGTGCCAAGTCGTTTAACTCTCTAAATATAATCAGTTACGCTAAACCACGTCAGAATGTGCCATCTAGAGTTTCACGACCGAACTATATATATATTATATTATATATAAGGGTGTTTTTTTTCCATAGTATAAAGTCTTACAGGTTTAAAATGACATGAATCCTCATTTTTCATGAAATATTCCTTTAATAAAGATCTCTGGTCCTATTGTGCATGATCAGCATTTCATCAATGTACATTATTTTTAAGAAAAAAAAACATAGATGTGTCATTATACAATGAGTGCGCCAAATCATGTTTGAACAATTGAACATATCATAAATAAACAAAAAAATAATTATTTTGAGAATTTAATAAACATAACTTTTCTTAAGTGTAATTACTCATCTTAAAAATGGTCTTAAAATATAAATTCTTATTTTTTATCCTTTAGTTTTCAGGGTGAAAAATGAGACTCACCCAAATTCATATAATCAGTTACGCTAAACCACGTCAGAATGTGCCATCTAGAGTTTCACGACCGAACTATATATATATTATATTATATATAAGGGTGTTTTTTTTTCCATAGTATAAAGTCTTACAGGTTTAAAATGACATGAATCCTCATTTTTCATGAAATATTCCTTTAATAAAGATCTCTGGTCCTATTGTGCATGATCAGCATTTCATCAATGTACAATATTTTTAAGAAAAAAAAACATAGATGTGTCATTATACAATGAGTGCGCCAAATCATGTTTGAACAATTGAACATATCATAAATAAACAAAAAAATAATTATTTTGAGAATTTAATAAACATAACTTTTCTTAAGTGTAATTACTCATCTTAAAAATGGTCTTAAAATATAAATTCTTATTTTTTATCCTTTAGTTTTCAGGGTGAAAAATGAGACTCACCCAAATTCAAAGAGCTTTTATACCTACAGGAATGGGATTTTTTTTCCATAGAACAAAGTCATATGCGTTTAAATCCTTATTTTTGTATTGAAATATTCCTTTTTTGTATGAAATAGTCCATATTCTGCAACTTTTGCAAGTTTAAAGTGTTTAGTGCCGCACACTGAGAAATAAACAAACAACCTTGATGTACGATTTACTTTAAAACAATTTTTACTCAGAAATTGCTAGTAAATTTCACAAATAATTACAAAAAATGGCAAATAACACATTGAATCAAACCAAAGTGCATTTAATCAAAACCAAAACTGAAAAAACAACAACAAACAATTACAAAACTAGGGTTCAAATTAAATTTGATGGGGAGTGCAGCTAAAATTATGTGGAAAATCATATATAATGTAATATTATTATGTCTACATGATATTAATAAATAAATATTATTCATAATAATTTTGCCAACTTTTCACAGTTTTACAGTGATTGATAAAATTCTGCATCAGTTGCAAGTTCAAAGCATTTAATGCTGCATTTAATCATAATTAAAGTAAAATAAATGTTTGTTAAAATGTAAGTTATTTTCTGCATTTATTCGTGTGTAGATGTGGATGTGGTTAAACTGTTTGATATGCTTCACACACATTTCATTCATGTAGAATGACATGAGTGATGACACTTCATTACAGCGCAGTGTGACCGTGACAATGAGTCCTTCTGACATTAATATCCATCAAGGGCTCAATGCAACCACATGTTTTGCATGTAAAACTGCAGGCCGCTGTTAAACAGCCTGAACTCCTGACGAGCGTTCAGTGATTAGGATGGCATGAATGTCTGATTTCATGAGTGCTGAAGCTAACAGGCCACTGAAGTTATGCAGCATGTTACAGAGCAACAAATATTTAAATAACAAGAGTTAAATAACTTGAAGTGTAAAATGTGTGTTTCTTGTGATGGTTACTCACAAGGAAGGGTCGTGCACGAGATCTTTGAGGTTGATCCCGCTGCGGTCCTCAGCGAGATTGCGAAAGCAGCTGTCACTTACTGCAACACAAACACAAAGAGGAGAAACATGCTTATAAACGGACAACAGATGATACAAGAGACGATTATAAATGAGGTAGAATTACGGATGAACATTAATATTCATTCAGTGTTTAGGCAAGGCAAGGCAAGGCAAGTTTATTTCTATAGCACATTTCGTACACAATGGTAATTCAAAGTGCTTTACATAAAAAAAAGTAAAATAATCATAAAAAAATAATCACAAAAAGGAATTTAAAAACTTTAAACACTTTTAAAAACTTTTAGATCTACTAAATGTATGAGGTACATACACTGCCATTTGTTTTTTTATTCAGACATGATGCATTCAATTGATTAAAAGTGACAATTTAATTAAATAAATTTAATTCTTTAATTAAATACAAGTAAATACGTTTATAATGTAACAAAATATTTCTATTTCAAATAAATGCTGTTCTTTTGAACTTTCTATTCATCAAAGAATCCTGAAAAATAAAATGTTTCACAGTTTCCACAAAAATATGAAGCAGCAGAACTGTTTTCAACATTGATAATAATCAGAAATGTTTCTTGAACACATCAGCATATTTGAATGATTTCTGATTTCTGATTCAGCTTTGATCATTACATTTTACAATATATTACAATAGAAAACAATTATTTTGAATTGTAATAAATTTCACAATATTACAGATTTTATTATATTTTTGGTAAAAAAAAAAAAAGTAGCCTTGGTGAGCAGAAGATACTTTTTTCAAAAACATTAATAAATCTTTGAATGGATAAACTTCTCAACACCAAAATATATTTAAGTGACTGAAATGAAACAAACTAGTTTGTTTTCATAATCATTTATCAAATGTAAAAGCTTTTTGTTACATCAGAAATTCATTTTCTTTTCAATTCTAAAAGTTATTCTATAAATAAATCAAAACACAAATTTCAACCCGACTAAATATTTTAAAGCTAAGCATAATTAGAAAAACTTAAATTAACAATAAAAATGTCCATACATTTTTAGGATTTTATTCATTTCACTGATTTCCTAAGATTGGTTAAACTACTAAAATGAAACAATTATTTTTTTAAAGGTAACATTTTTTTTGGATAAAAATGAAATCACACAACAACATTTTAAAATGTAAATGAATGTGGGTGAACTGTGAATGCAGCTTAATTTTTTTAATTAAGAACATCTTACACCAGATTTGCATTTGTAAATTGTAAAAAAAAACTGCGAATACTACAATCAATCAATCAATATATATATTTTTCTTGTTCATGCATTCCTGGTTGCGTCAGTAGAAATCAAAAGTAATTTTAGACAAGTTATTATTGTTTTTGATTGAAGATGATGCATAAAATAAATAAAATACAAATAATACACATACACACACTCACACACAACTGCTGCATCCAATGAGAGTTTAGCAAGCATCCATGAGTCATCATTGTGCTCACTGTCAATATGACACAAGCAAAAGCAAAAGAACAAGAGAGTGAAAGAGCTCTTGGAATCAAGCCAGTCTCTAGAGAAGTAATGCACCAACACATGATGAAAGAAAAGATCAAGAGAAAGAAAAAAAAAACATATGAGAAAAAACGAGGGAAAAGCTATTTTGGCTTTTGTGTTCAGCTCAAACACACGTGTGATCTGTGCTGAGGTCAGTTTCATTCAGTGAACCCACTTCAGGAAACATATGGGCAACATGGTGTTTATTTATGGCGTAATATGCACCGAATCCTTCACAATAAGACCAGAAGTGTGTGATTATAAGTAAGCCAAAGTAAATGTTGGTTTCATGTTTAAAGAATGCAATGGATTACACAGACAGCCTTCATCACGACGCTGAGCTAAAGCGAGAGTTCAAACAGCAGATCAGGAGAGACAGATAAAGATGGTGAGGAAGATGATGATCTGTTCTGGAATCAGGCTTCAAAGGAATGTTAATGCAGCCAGTGCAAGACAGAGAAAGACACAAGATACTGAAGAAGAGAGTGAGAGAGAACATGTTTCCTACTTATGGAGCTCAATAAAGCCCATGGATATCTGATTTACTCAGGACTTGCTTTGCACAGGCATGCTTTCTATCCTGCACCACAGTTGAGAGATTTCAAGACTCCATGAAGTAGAAATAGATGTTTAGTGTATGTCTGATTTGGATTCCCAATCACAACAACATTCCTTACAACAGCCTTTACACATAATGCATTATAAAAGTATTTTTAATGCATTACTTTAGCCTTGTATCTTGCACATTAAAATGCATGGGATGATCTCATGAATAATTGTAATCATAGTTATAATATTTATTTATTCATTATTAGACCTTTAGAAAATTGAATGCACTATAAATAGCAATTAGTTATCAAACGATACAACACATTGCAATGCACATTATGAATACATTTATAATGCATTGTACATAAAGGCTTTAAGTAAAGTGTTACTAAGTATTTCTATTTATTAATATTACCATGAACTGCACAGGCCCAACGATATGTAAAATTATAGGCATGTCAATATGTCCCACCCCAACTTCCTGTTTCAACAGGAAATATTTCAAAGTATTTTTAATGCATTACTTTAGCCTTGTATCTTGCACATTAAAATGCATGGGATGATCTCATGAATAATTGTAATCATAGTTATAATATTTATTTATTCATTATTAGACCTTTAGAAAATTGAATGCACTATAAATAGCAATTAGTTATCAAACGATACAACACATTGCAATGCACATTATGAATACATTTATAATGCATTGTACATAAAGGCTTTAAGTAAAGTGTTACCAAGTATTTCTATTTATTAATATTACCATGAACTGCACAGGCCCAACGATATGTAAAATTATAGGCATGTCAATATGTCCCACCCCAACTTCCTGTTTCAACAGGAAATATTTAAATGTGAGAAAGAAAACTGGTTTGCAAGGCATGCAGAAATATGTTGCAGTCCATTCATGTTTGCTGAAACCCAAAAGCATTATTTTATTTCATTTCATTTCATTTTATTATTCAGCATGGATGCATTCAATTGTGGAAGCTTGTTACTGCCACAGGATAATTTTTCTTTTTAAAAAGGTAACTGTAATTTTTTTAATCTAAAAATTCAGACTTTTTCCTCACAATTCTGAGAAAATGTGAGGTATAAATTCAGAATTATGAGAAAAAATTTTTAAAAAAAAAAAAAAAAAAAAAAAAAAAAAAAAAAAAAAAAAAAATATATATATATATATATAAAACACTAAATGCATCAGGAACTCCCTAACAACATGACAGCAGGTTTTGCACAAGCAAACACCTCAAACCTTGAATGAATGTCTGTCACACTGGAAACACGCAAATGTTTGCCTGCATGTATTATGTTAGACTGCCGTTAATTGCATTATGCAAATTTTTCATGAGGTCATGCCTCATTTCTTCTCATGTTTCCTTCAAGAGTCGCAGCATTCAAACAGAGCAGCGCTGGGGTGATGTACGCTCTCAGGTGAGAGAAACATGATCAGCAAACAGGACGAAAGCAACAGGAAATGAGCCGATCGAAGCTCTCAATGAGATAATTAGGAATGGATTAATTAATCAATGCTAAACCCAGAGCAAGAAACCATATTACAGTATACGAATGCCGCCACAAAAGACCCCAATGACAGATAATCCTGCAGGAAAACAGGAAACAACGGCATCTGAGAGAAAATGGACGAACAATGGCTTTCTCTGTGCTGCTTCTGACTGCAGTTACAAAGTGACAGAATCCCAAATGAGCTTCTTACATCCTTTTGTTCCCGACCAAATGCAATGCATGAAAAATCCATAGGATAATCGGGATATTTCATAGTGGTGTCAAGAAGATGGAAAAGTTTACCATGATATTGGCTATATTTGAAATAGCACACTTCTCATACTATTTTTTTTTTTACTTTGCATACTAATCGCACTATATTAATTTTTATGCATGGATAAGGGTTATTATCATTCACTAAAACTAAAACCATAAAAACATTTTCATTACTTGAAACTTTTATTTTATTTCAGGTAGTTGTCAAGGTAACATTTTTCATTTCATTTCGTACTAAAATAACTCAAACTAATAAAAAAAAAAACGACATAGAAATAAAAAAATATTCAAAAATAATACAAATTACAAAAACACACAACATAAATACAAAAACTTTAAACTAAAAACACAGAACACTGAGAAAAAATAAATAAGTAAATGAAATAGAGAAAAAACATTACTTACCTAAAACAAAATAAATGTTAATTGAAATCAAGTTAAATCCTATTAAAGCTAATACTAAATAAACCTAAACTAATAAATACATAATAATAATAAATATATATATATATATATATATACAATATATATAGCAAGAACTAATAAAAAAGACAAAAACAAATGACAAAAACAAAATTACTAACAATTTCAGTAAAATTAACCTGAAAGCAGAAAATCTAAAAGTAAAATCTAATTCAAAGTATTAACAAAATGTCTAATGGTATATCAACAATGATGCTAAAATAACACTGGCATACATTAAACACCCATATTGCTTATTAGATTTGGCAAAATGTGGAATAGCACTCAACTTGATGAATATCAACTATGATTTGATAATTTTTTGACAAAACTTAAAACCGACATTGGATTAAAAATGCGAAATGACTATGATAACTGATTATAAAATAATGAGGTCATGTGACAACAATATAGTACTACTGGCTGAAATATTCATCGTTGCATGCTGCTGTTTCACATGAACTTTTTTCAGAATTTTAACAGTAAGCAAGCCAAGTCAAGTCAAATTTATTTGTATAGCACTTTGCACAATGCATATGTTCATAAAAATTTTCAGAATAACTCAATACCTTCACGTCGTATAGTTGCATTTAATAGACTATAGATGGATGGAGTATATAGTTACATCAAGCAGTTTACAGTATATGCAGTAAGCAGTATTTTTCTTTCCAGCAGCATAAACACAATCAGGTATTACATTATCTGTATTACA